GGGGCAGGCAGATCAACGCCGCCTGCAGTGAGGGAGAGAGTGGGTCTGGTGCTGCCCAGCCAGGGCAGGGCACCTCCTGGCACTGCATGTACCCCAGGAGGGCATGGGGGAGGCGTGTGGCCCCCCAGTCTGCAGGCAGGTGGGGGGGTGATGCCACTGCTGGCTGGAGCCAGGGGCCATAAGCACTCTTCCCCATGCATGGGGCTGCACTTGGGGCATGCAATGGCAGAACTGGGAAGGGGGGGGGAAGACTGAGGGCCTGCAGCCACCCCAAGTTTCACCATAGCCCCTCCCCCCCAGTATCCCCCTCCCTACACCACAGAGGCACTTTTAACTAAAGCTTGTTAAACAAGATGTAGTTAAAGCCTCCCCCCCACCATTTGAAATGCAGGGAGGCTGAATACATGCTATGTAGAGGCTGCTGAAGCACACTAGTTAGCACACTCCAGCAGACTCAGTTAATTGAGTGTGCTCTGATGTATGCCAATTACCATGCCTCCAAGCAGAGGTGTGTCACACATCTAAGTGTCCCTGGCTTCTTGTCACGTAAGCAGGGGGATTCAACACCGAACCTCATGGGCTACCTGGGCAGTGCTCTTTTTCTTAATTAATTAGTCAAGAGAAAGAGAACCTGCAGGCCAGGAAAGTCCCAATTAGAAGAACTTGGGTGATGTAACACCAGGAATATAGCAACAACACAGACACCGTGCCCTGTCTCTCTCTGCATGCGTACACACTCACGCACATAGCTATAGCAGTATAGCTCTCTCTATCACTCTCTGTATAGACAGCCAACTAGCTAGCTATAGATCGACGTGAGGGAACCTACTTTAACCTCATATACATTACATACTCAGGCATGTGCACACACACATGCCTCAGACAGCTTTAAAAACCGGTCTCAGCTTCCTGCCCTTTGCCTGGAGTCAGTCCGCAGCCGTCTGCCCCATCTCTCCCTCACTCTGCTGAACTTATTTTAGCAGATGCAAGTCTCCCGGCTTCCTATTAGCCCTTTCCACCTGCCTCAGAGAAACAGACCAATCCAGATGTGGATGCTGGCCCGGCCTTTCCTCCAGCAGGGAGGAGACGCCAGGATGGCGCCGAGCCCCGGCTGCTCCGGCTCTGTGCTGGGGGCTCAGGACCAGCCCCCGCCCTCGCCCTCGCCGGGGTAGCTCCAGGGCTGGGGCTCCCGGCCCAGAAGGGTCCTTCCACACGGCCCAGGTGAGATGGACACTGCCCCGGCTGTCTCCCCCAGGCCTGATCCTTGCTCTATCTGCTGCTCTGCTTTCTGCTCCCTGTCCTGGACCCCTGCTCTGCTCTCTGCCCCCACTGGTTGCTTTGCTTTCTGCCCCCTTCCCTGTGTTGCCTGCCCCATCAGTGGCTGTTCTCTACCCCCTGCCCCGTCCTCTGCTCTCCTTTCTGCTCCCTGCCCTATTTACCACTGTGCTACCTAGATCC